CACCAGAGTCAGATCTTCCAGGATCACTGGACATGAGACCACCAGAGTCGGGTCCTCCAGGACCACCGGACTTGAGACCACCTTGTGAAGAGGCTCTGGACTGGCGGCCATCTTGTGATGAGATTCGGAACAGGCAGTCATGTCAGGAAAAAGCCCCTCCGGTTCAGGAACTGACAGTCTCCCGTTGTGGGCTAGAAAGTCCACAAACACCCCAAAAGACAGGTGCTCAGTGTCGTATCTCCTCCAGGTGCTGATCGGCTCATCAAGGGCATAAGAAAACAATTCCTTGAGAGCCGCATCATTATACTTCAGCCCCTCCGCAGCAGTCCTGAATTCCAAGGTGAATTCCCTCAGGTCAGTCCCCCGTTGCCGGAGGGAACTCAATGCCGATAATTGGAGCATACGTTGGTAGAGGGGGCTGCTGATAGTGGAGGCTGGCAGTAGGAGGTTAACCATTCTCCGCGGAGTCCTCATTTGGCTTCTTCATTCTGTCATGGTACTGGAGAGCGATGAGGCGAGGACTCAAATGCAGGAGAATAATGGGCCTTTTTAATAATAAAATGAAACAAAAAAAACACAAACTACCCCGAGGGGGAAAAACAGGCGTGAAGGCCAGAACAGGGCATAGCAGGTAGAGCTGGCCCAATACCAGAAACACACAGACATACAGTATCTGACTACATACGACAACGAAGAAGCACAGGACTGCAAGCACAAGGAAAATAAATAAGGAGACAATTGAGGAGGGTAATGAGGGAGACACAGTTGGAGTAACTTAAACAATAATGAGGTGACAAGATGGGAGGGGACAGACAATAAGACAGGAGAGAGCACATGGCACCAAACAAACACAGCACAAGCCATGTGCTCACAAAAATCCACAGGAGTGCCCTCTGGTGGCCATCTTGGGCACTCCAGCTGCAGACCGTGACACAAATGCTGTACAAAAAGGCCTTGTTAGTGCATGAAAAATAATGTACACAAATTGAACCTTACTTTAAAATGTTACTGACCTTTATTTTCTTTTCTTTTTATAGATTTTCATCAATATTTCATTTAATATGTTTATTAATCTGTTTTCTTATCCTTGTGGGGACATTTGGTCCTTACAATGTAGGTAACATCTGACACACACATACATACACGCATACGCACACACAAGCACAGAGGTTGAATAGATCCTGCATTCACATTCTAGCAATTATTATTACATATATTATAGTTCACAGATCAAATAGAAAATTCTAATTAATTTGATCGGGACAAATTAATTGGCTCATACAACAGAGCAAGCCAATTTACAAAGCAACACCGCATCACATTAGAGGACACACACACACATAGTAGAAGAGACGATAATCTATAAATAGCGAGGGCACAGTACGACTCTCCAGGATTGGGTAGATTACAGCTGGACTGCTGTGTCTAGCCATCTTTTTGTGTACATACAGAATTAACCAACCCCCTCCCTCCATCCATCCCTCTCTCTTTCTCCCTCTCTCTCTGCCCAAATTTCCTCTTGTGCCTCATCTCCCTCCCC